AGGAGGAGGAGAATGAGAGCCAACGGCAGCAGCGGCAGCCGCGAGAGAGGGGGGCGGGGGAAGCGAGCGCGAGAGAAGAGAGCAGGAGGAGGAGGAGGGAGAGACTGCAGCCCCCCCCCGCTCCGGGAGACCGAGAGAGACCCCTGGCCCCCACACACCAGGCAGAAGTCCCTGAGCGGCAGCCCCCAGACCCGAGGAGGGAGGGACAGACCCCAGACCCAGACAGGACCCCTCAGTCCCACGCAGGGCAGGCTCATCTGAGACACAGACCCCAATCTAAGGAAAAGAGACCTCGATCTCACAGATAAAGACCCCAGGCCCCCCCCCGTCCAGATGAGAATGTGAGGACCCAGGCTCCAAAGATTCTTTACAGCCACAGAAATCGTAGACCCTGTGGTGACGATTTCAAGGATCAAGACCTGAGACGAGACTCAGTGCAAGATGATGAAACTCAGATTAGAAAGACCTAGACCCAGATTTAGATCTTGGAACTCGGCCCCAGGGAGTGATCGGAGGGATCCCAGAATCAGATCGCAGAGAAAAGAAACCGCAGACAGACTCCAGACTCAGGGAGACAGGCAGAAACCCGCTACCCCAGTGGTGGGCCCAGAGACCCAAAACTCATACAGTTTGAAACACTCCAGGGAGCGTGACCATCAAACGTCGAAATACAGAACCCCTAAGACGACAGGAAAGGGAACTCAGTCCTGAGAGAGATCCCAGACCTGATACTGAAGACCCTCAGATGTGTCAAAGACAAACTGCAGATCCAGACACCTCAGGGAGACCCTTCCAACTCAAGCAGGGTAAAAACGAGAGAACCCTAAGGAGGCTCCCAGTCACCCCACCACCCGGGGACCCCTGAACTTGGCGGGTGTTGGGCAGCAGAGCCTTTTTCTCTGCTGCCTTCTCACACTGCTCCGGCCTCGCCTTGGCCCCTCTCTGCATTTTTGGGTCACTGGATGTGCTTGGGCCCCAGGGAAGTTATGTAGGGCAGGGCTGGGCTCCTGAGGGGATGGATTAAGGAAAGGAGCCCCAAGACCCGAGGTGACCCAGTCCTGGGCAGCGGGACAGGCAGGGGAGAGTGGACTGAACTGTCAGCACTACACTTCTCTCCTTCCCTCCAATTCACCACGTTCCAAGTTTTGGGTTTTCAGTTA